CATCATCAGCGTTCCCATCATCAGCGTTCCCATCATCAGCGTTCCCATCATCAGCGTTCCCATCATCAGCGTTCCCATCATCAGCGTTCCCATCACCAGCGTTCCTTGTTCGCCGTCCTGGTTGGTCTGACTGACTGTGCACTCTGACTGACGGTCCATACCAGACAACCTGGGCGATCTGGCCGATCTAAGTCTGCCGCAATCGCAGACCGGGTTTCCCAATCTCTCCCGCTCGGACCTGCCCATCTGTATCAATACCAACGCCGGAGATTCGTCCACATGCGACAGATCGGGTAAGCCAAGCTGCTTCTGCCGGCAGTGCTTGACAACTGATGGGTTGCACACAGAATTCCTCGCTGGCCTCAAGAAGCGCAATGCCGTCTTCGAAACGTTCCAGACGCCGGCATATTCCAACAATGCTTTCAGAATTCTTGGTTATGTTGTTGAGCAGGTCACTCAAATGAAATATGCCACTGCCCTGCAGAAGGTTGTTTTGGACCCATTGGGACTTAAACTTACCTTTGCAAGCACGCCGTCCAGTTCCCTTGGGGCGATCCCGGAGAACTCGACGGAGACGGGCTGGTATGAAGATCTGGGGGATGAAGTAGCGTGAGTCCTTTCGGCCGGGAAGTCTTGACAAACCGACTGATCTTTTCCATAGTGCTGGAGGGCTCTTTTCAAGCTCCAGTGATCTCTGTTCATTCGGCAAGGCAATTTTGACCAGCAAACAAATCCCTCGCGCGGTCACCCGGCGCTGGATGAAGCCCAGTTCTCACACGTCTTCGCTCTTCCTCTCGATTGGAATGCCATGGGAGATCTATCGGGCCAACATCTTCGGACGCATAGTCGATCTATACAGCAAGTCTGGCAGTGTCGGAGCTTATAACTCGTGGCTAGTGCTCGTACCGGATTACGGCATTGTCATCTCAGTTCTGGTGGCCTCGGCCGAAACTGCTGGTGCATTGCCCGGGCGGCTGACCGACCTGGTCACTTTCAAGGTCTTGCGTGAAGTTGCTGCCAGGGAGGAGAGCCAACGTTTCACTGGGCGATACGTATCGAACAGCACGACCGGTCAGGAACCAGACTCTGCCGTCGAACTGCAGGTGAATGCGGAAGAGCCAGGCTTGAAGATACGGTCGTGGATCAGCAATGGAGTTGATTTTCTCGAAACAGCCGACGCTTATGCACGGTCCACGGACAGTGGTGCTCTGCAGTCCGTCCACCTTTACCCCTCGATATGTAAGACTGTCGATGAATGCTTGACATATCGAGCGGTGTTCAAGACAGCCCGCGAGCCCGCATCTCCTTTGAGCATTGCCGAGGTCGGTGGCGTGCCTCAGCTCTTTGACCAGGCCACAGGAGCTTGGATTGCGGTGGATCAATTGACCTACGGAAAGCAGCCACTGGACGAATTTGTTTTCGAGACAGATTCTGAGGGTCGCGTCATTGGTGTTAGCAATCCTGGCCTAAGAGTGAAGATGGCGAGAGTGTGACATGAATTCAGCTGTTGTTCTAGAGGGGATTCTCGGGAACGGTCATGTTCACTAGATTTGTGGGGGAAGTGTGCAGGATCTGAGACGGAGACGGAGACGGAGATAGCATTCAATACGCGGAAAGGTGGTCACTGGAATGAGTCAGTATACTCAAAACATGCGGCAGGCAGATCAAGACAGGAGAAACGTCTCTCTCCCTCTCCCAGGCGGATAAAGGACTAAGAGTGAACCGAAGAACATGTGGATGTTGGGTTGGGATCGAGCGCGCTTTCACACTTTGACTTCTGAGACGCGACTGAGCTTTGGTGAAAATCTCCATCACCTATAACACTACCTACCTATATAGATATGGTACAGAGCAGGTATAGAGTATATACCGGGCAAGTTAGGTCCCTGTGGTAAGTGGTTAAATGGTGAGCAGGTCATATGAGATAGGGTTAGGGTTAGGGTTAGGGTTACTTCCAGGTGAGCTGCACGTGACATGGAGCTCGCCATCGATCTGGGCGCCAAGCCTGTGGCCTCATCGCTTTCTTCTCACTTCTCACTTCTCTCGCTTTTCTAGAGATTCAAGATTCTAGATTCTAGATTCCACTCCCTACAACTAGACTACCCTGACTGCCCTACCAGTAGTACTACCATCACTACTACTGCGACATTCTTTCTTGACAGACATAGAATTGACTATTGCTGTTGCTGTTGCTGTGGCTGGTGCTGGTTCTTGTCATATAGATCCCGACCCTGACCCTTCGCTATGCACATCCTTGTAAGTCTGGGTCCTGCCCTCACCCTCTCTCATCCTCTCCCTCTCCCTCTCCCTCTCCCTCTCCCGCATCCTCTCCCTCGTCCTCTCCCACCCTCATCACCCTTATCCGCTGACTCCCGAGGCCAGGTTGTTAACGACGACGGCCCCCCATCCAACCAATCGTCGCCATATGTTCATTCCCTCGTAGCCACTCTTCAAGACGCCGGTCATTCGGTCTCGGTGGTCCTACCTAATGTTCAGAGATCCTGGATCGGGAAGGCCCATATAGTCGGCCAGACTTTGACCCCCTCTTATTTTCACCCAGGCACTCTTCATCAGGACGACGGCATCACTTCGCCTCGTCCCTTCAACGACGGCGGAGAGGAATGGATCTTAGTCGACGGCACACCTGCCAGCTGCGTGCAGATAGGTCTGCATCATGTGTTCAACGATAAAAGCCCCATCGACCTGGTCCTGAGCGGCCCGAACTACGGCCGCAATACGACGGCCGTCTTTGCCTTGTCCAGCGGCACTCTCGGTGCCGCGTTGGAAGGCGCAATCAATGGAAAGAAAAGCATCGCATTGTCGTATGCTTTCGACTCGAGAGAGCATGATCCGGAAATCATAGCCGCGGCCTCAAAGTTGAGCACGAGATTAATAGAGAAGCTGGTAAAAGACTGGCCGGACGATGTCCATCTCTATAGCATCAACGTCCCTCTTCGCAAAGGCGTGGAAGACGCCAAAATCGTCTACGCTGAAATGCTCCAGAACTCTTGGGTCAGCGGAAGTTCTTTCCAGGACTTACCGGAAGAAGCGGATGACGAGGACCCTAATGTCGAAGAGCAGACCATCCGCGAAAGCAGCGAGGCCAACGGGGATGCCACTGTCTCTCCACCAATTCCCAAACGCGCTCATCGAAAGTTTAAATGGTCGCCCAACTTTGCAGACGTGCGCAAGGCTGTTGTGGATGCTCAGAAGGGCGACGGATGGGAGGTGCTCCAGGGGAATGTCACGTAAGTACCCGGGTCATATGCACTAAGCGTTGAATCACACTGACAAGATCAGCGTAACTCCGTTGGTGGCCAATTTCTGGCACTTGCCTCACTATACAGGCGAAATCAAGCTGTGAGTAAGTTCGTCATGCCATGGGTTCTGGGTTCTCAACTTTGGTCTGCCTGTGACGTTGACGGCTTACTGAAATAAGTGCCCAGGGATGATATCGGGGCCTTCAGTGATCCCACGGCAAGCTTGGTCAGCCAGAAAGAGGCTCGAGTACCGTTGCCTCTGTATGTGCTGGTTGACTACCCGGATGGGTACGTCCAGCCGCTCATCCTAGAGGCTCTTAGAGGTCTCAAAGACACACCAATAAACATCATTTCTTCGCTCAGTCACCTGTCGAACCCAGAAGATCCTGTTTTACAGTTCACGGCGTATGAATCTCTAGATTTCGAACACGCTATGCAACACCCGCGGACCTCTCTCGTATGCGCGTATGTCATCCGAAAAGCCCTTATCCGCAAGCACTACCTGTCGAACACGGTTTCCACATGGCTCGTGAAACACCCAGACAGCAGTTTGGCCAGACACTTCAAGCCCTGTGTGCACTTCGAGCTCGACTATGCCGAGTTTCTAGACGAAGCCCTGGTGGATGCTTGGGACCTGAATGCGAGCATGGCCGATAACGAGCAGATTAATGCCCTCGAGAAGAGAGCCTGGTGGATCCTCAAACCGGGAATGAGCGACGGCGGCAACGGAATCCGACTATTCTCCAGCATGGAAGAACTACAAACGATCTTTGAAGAGTGGGAAGAGACCTTTCCAGACGATGATGCCGAGGACGATGATAGCTCACCTGTCAATTTCGACGCACACCCACCAAACACGGCCGAAGTTGGTGATGGTAATGCAATGACCTCTCAGCTCAGACACTTCATCGCCCAACCCTACATCGACCCTCCTCTTCTGCTCGAAGCATATGGTAATCGGAAATTCCATATCAGGGCGTACGTACTGGCGGTGGGGGCTCTGAAAGTCTACGTATATAAGGAGATGCTGGCCCTCTTTGCCGCAAAGCCATACCAGTCGCCCTTTGGCTCGGAGGATTCTGAGGTCCTGGACCTGGCACAACATTTGACAAACACCTGCTTTCAGGATGAAACAACCAAAGAATCATCGGTCTACCGCTTCTGGGCCCTTGATTCGCCCGGCATGCACAACGGATGGAAAGAAGCCATCTATCAACAGATCTGTGATGTTACCGGAGAAATCTTCGAGGCTGCCGCCCGTGAGCAGATGGTCCATTTCCAAGCAATCCCCAATGGCTTTGAAATATTTGGCGTCGACTTCTTGGTCGACAAGGATGCCAACGTCTGGTTGCTGGAACTCAATGCCTATCCGGACTTTAAACAGACGGGACAGGATCTACAAGACGTTGTCATTGGTGGCCTTTTCAAGGAGGTCATCGACGTGGCGGTGGCACCGTTCTTTGGACACCCTGCACTCAAGTCCTCCCGGATGCCGTTGGTTAGATCCCTCAATTTAGGTCGAGGATGAAGGCACAAATCAACACACCATTCTCCAGTCCGATCTCATTCTTGTTATCGACAATGGTCCGATCGTGGAATTTGGCAGACACGAGGCTCTGATCAAGTGAAAGAAGCTTACCACGAGCGATGCACAAGTCAGTTACAGACCCATGATTCCCACGAGGGCGACAGCTGTCACGCCCGTGATCCCGATGACTGAGGAAGGCCCCGTCTTCTGCGACCGGAAGGTCTGGGGGTCAGCCGTCGACCGTGGCGAGAACGCCGCTGGGAAAGAGATGGGTTAGCGCTGGAACTTGGAGCCAGAAACTGTTTCAGAGCAGGCAGTCACACCCTCCATGGCCAAATGATCCCAATATCTTGATATCGAGAACATGATCTTCATCTGGGTCTATGTTCATGGCTTTGGTGGTTGCGACCGCTTCACTGAGCCCCAAGACCGAAATCGAGCCTGCACAAGGCGTGCGTAACACACTCGCCTAGAATTTCAGCACATCCATGATTCCCTCCTGAAACCTCATTTTACCCTGGAGCCAGCCAGCCGCTACGTAGGCGCAGTCCTATTCAGAGTTTACACGTACATGTCTTGGTTGTCTTTGATCTACAAGTCACTATAGCACACTGGCGCCGCCTTACGATGGATCTCACACACATTTGTCTCACTCACCCAGACAATGCTATCTGAAACATCAACACCACTTCTGAAAGAAAGATGGGCGACTGCCCTGGAGCGGTGGATAACACGAACCCATCATTACACAAAGCAGCTGCTAGCTGTGCTCAACTCCTGACAAGTCCAGTAATCGGGGACAAGGACAACAGAGACAACAGAGTCAGACCTAGGCATTTCCATCTTCAGCAGCTGCCTCGTCCTAGGAGCACGCAGCATATGAAGCAGGGCAGTCTTTGTACGTCCACTCCACTTTGTGACAATCCTGAGAATAGAGTATATCTTCCTTCCCGTTCCCATATCTCTTCGGAAGTCTTCCTCAACCTCAACCTCAACCTCAACCCTGCAACACAACAATCCTTGCAACTCCGGAAACTCTTTCGTCCAACTCATTTGAAGCAGGCCTTCAAAATGAAACTTTTCGTCTTCCTTGTCCAATTTGCCTCAATCCTGGTGCCCTTCGCTTCCCTCAACTTGTTGTTGCATACCATGACGTTTCTATACTTCCTCAAATTCCTCGCCTCAGCTACAGCGGAGTATCAGCCAGCGCGGATGGTCCTTGAACTGCCCGACGGAATCAAGACCATCAGATTACTTCTCTGCAGACTGATCATGTTCACCCTCAAAATTTACCTGAGTTTGTGGCTCCACGAGAAAGCAAGAGAATATGATTTCGCTGGCCGAAATACATACGCCTTTGAGAGACTCGGCCTTGCCGTTCGAAACAGTGCGTCAGAAGTTCATCATCCTGGGCGAGCAACACCCTTCAGCGACGCCATTGTCCTGTCTCAACATATCACTGACCTGGAAGAGAACAACAACGACAACGACAACTTCTCTGAATTCGAGGGAGCACGTACTCCATCTCCTACCATGGCGAAATCGGGACAGATCCCTGATGTTTTCAGCTCTGTGGTACATTGGGTCACCCCTGCGGATGAGACCAACAATACATCGCTTTTGGGTGATAGGCGAGACGAAGAGTGCATATCTAGTGTGATTTCGGTGCCAGCAGGTTCGGGATGGAATGATGGTTCTGAGAGCGGACTTTGCAATACTACTTGCATACGGCGGTTTCTTGAGGAGCTTGTCTTGCTCATTCTGTCCATTCTCTTGGAAATTGTGTCCCATGATGCATATTCCCGGGATCGACAGGCTTTCACAGTCTACGAGGACCAAGTAAACATGCACATGAGCAAGATTGTGGAGGAGCTTGGAAATTGCTTGTTTGACGACGCCGTCGATGAGGGTGAGAAAGGTTTCTATTGGGACTGGGATCAAGAGCAAGGCAAGGATGCAGATCAAGACGACGATGAAGATGACGGATACTTTGCAGACGACGAAGGCGAGGAGGAAGACGACATCAAGAACGCTCCACGAAAGAGAAAAGTCCAGAACAAGGTAGATGAGTGGCGAACCAAGAACGCACAACCAAGACAACAACAAGAAACCGCGGTTCCAGACCCAGATGCAGACGCAGCCTACAACCGAGATTCTCCGCTTGGAAGATCCAGCGATGGAATTGTCCTGTATTTCCAGAACCTGATCACACGAGACCGTCTCAAGTCGACCGGCGAGGACATGATTGCCAGCCAGGAGGAGGGAAGAAAGGGAAAGGAAGAGCGTTGCAGCATGGATATCAAGCACGAGACAGCCACCAACACCGGCATCATCAATGATGACGACAATGACGACGGTGACGGCGACGATGATGGAGAAGACAAGTTCGCCACCGTCGAAGATGACAAGGTCGCCAACGTCATGGATGACAACCTCTCCACCGCCGAAGATGACACATGCGAGTCTGACAGTGAGGTCGACGTCCAGGTCGGGATTGACCCATTGTCCCTGGCACGCTGGTTGGCTGCTCTCCCAGATCCGAAGCCGCAGAGACTCGAATGCGGATGCAGATGCAGATGCAGACATCGCCGCAATGCATGGGACTGGACGAACATGTAGATGTTGAGTGTCGCCCGTGGCGAGTGCAGCCTGGCCTTGGTGGCAATGCCAAATCATCATCGATGCACAATTCGTCCTTGAACAGCAGCTAGCCGGCCGGCCGGGCTGAACCCGACACTGTCGACAGACTCACTTACTTGGATTCTCACTTCTCACTTGTCAGAAAGATGGATGTCCGGACCCGACACTGTCGACAGACTCACTTACTTGGCTTCTCACTTTAGAAAAATCGATGTCCAGACCCGACACTGTCGACTCACTTCTCACTTCTCAGAAACATGTCCGGGCCCCCTTGCACCTACCTACCAGGACCGATTCGTGGTCGTGGTCGTGGTCGTGGTCATTGTGCCATAGTATCTTTGGCTGGTCTAGTTCTTCCTCTCGAATATGGCACCTTGGTTTCCTTGATCTGGCGGAGGGGGGAGTGAAAGGCAGGGTGGGTTTTTGTCTGTTGTCATGTCGACCTCTACGACTACGACAATCGAGCACGGCGCCGTGTCTTGAAAATTGAAGGGGAATGTAAGAAAGAGGCTGAAAAGAAAGAAGAAAAGAAAGCGAAATACGATTGGATTTGGAAATGGGAATGGGAATGGGAATGGAAACACAGATTGACTGGATCTGAATTGAACTAAATTGAACTGAACTGAACTGAGCTGGAGCTGTGGCTGGAGCTAGAGTGGAACAAAAATAGAAGTGGAAGTGGGAAGGGAAGAAAGGGAAGTGGAAAGGGAAGAAAGGGAAGTGGAAAGGGAAGAAAGGGAAGTGGAAAGGGAAGAAAGGGAAGTGGAAAGGAAGAAAGGGAAGTGGAAAGGGATTGTTATGTTCAACCTAGGTCGTAACAGGAAATAGACTAGACTTGAACTCTACAATCACTGTAGATCTACTACCGAAAAAAAGGGAAAAAAGGGAGGGAAACAAAATACTAAGACTCTATCGTCTCAAGATCCTTACAAGGTTGTTTGTTCATGAGCATGATTCGTGGCTCGTAACATATAAAAGAGAAAGAAGGAGATACCTACCTAGGTATCTACTCGTAGATGATTGATCAATCATCCTGTATAACATTCCAGGTTTCCGACCAGATTAGGCTTCTCCTCTGGGCTGCCCGCCCTGCCCTGCTATGCCCTGCACGCTTGATGTCCTATCTACACATTAGGGGGACTGGACATACATACATGATGCTCGGGTCTTGCCCTAGCTCAAGCCTGAGGATCATTCGATATCACAGCTATGACCAGTGTGGGTGCTGGAGTCCATACGGTAGGGTACAGTATACTGCAGTCCATGAGGTAAGATATACCTAAGCCCCCAAGCCCAGCACTCCTACTTACTGCAGGCGCAACGACACACCTAATATGCCATGGCCGCTTCTCCCCTTACCTCTCCCTCTCACCCTCCCCTCTCTCCACCACTTGAAACACATCCCTCACACACACTCAGGCTTGTCCACCATTGACCCTGATGGTCTGGCCACTGATCCACCTGGCGCCGTCGCCGCTGAGGAAGACGATAGCGTCAGCGATTTCCTCGGGAGTGCCGATGCGGTTCTTGGGATTCAAGCCGGCGATAAACTTGAGGACCTGCTCGCTCTTGCCCTGGTAGAAGAGCTCAGTACCCGTGGGACCCGGGGCGACGGCGTTGACGGCGATGCCCTTTTTGGTCTGAAGGTCCTTGGACAGCACGCGTACGAGCTGCTCGATGGCGCCCTTGGTGGCGCAGTATAGTGTGTACGGCCCCGTGACGGTGGTGGCGTGGTTCTGCGTGGTGGAAACTAGCACGATGCTGCTGCCGGGGGCCATGTGCGGGAGGGCCTTCTGGACCAGGAAATAGGGGCCCTTGACGTTCAGGTTGAAGGCGTGGTCGAAGTCGGCTTCGCTGGTGTTCTCGACGTCGCGCATCGGCAGCACGCCCGCGTTCGGGATCAAGATGTCGATCTTGCCGTACTTGTCCACCGCCGCCGCAACCAGCTTCTCGATCCCGCTGATGCTGCCGGCGTCCGCTTGCACCGCGTACGCATTCTCCGCCCCGAGCGTGCCCACTAGCTCCTCCGCCGCTGCCGAGTCGCGCCCGTAGTTGATCACCACTTTCGCCCCCTGCTTTACCAGTGCTTTGGCCGTCGATGCCCCAATCCCCTTGGAACCTCCGGTGATGACGGCGACTTTGCCGGAGAGAGGACCGGTCGACATGGTATGGGATGGCGATGAGAGTCGTGTTTGGAAGGTTAATGTAGTTTAGGGCCCTAGGTAGGATGGAGATGAAGACGTGGGCTTGGCCTAGTTGTAATGGGAATTGGGATTGGGTGTAGTTTAGGTCGTCGAGAAAGAATATCAGTGGTGGTGGTAGTACTGGACGTAGTGCTCGTGTTGAGGAATGGCCGAATAGGCACTGGCACTAGAATGAAGATTTCCTGAGTATGATCTATGATCTAGGTTGTTGTGAGGTGCACACTCCAGTCCAGCTCATGACATTCTTATATACGTCTCCCCTTCCCTTACATAGAATTTTCCGGACGAGGGACCAACGCCGGGCCCGTGAGCTCATGGGCGCTCGCGACCATGTTTGCAAATGCATGCTTACGGAAGATTGCGTCGATACATGGGCAGAGTAGAAGGCTGAACCACATGGGGAAAGGCTCTGTCTCCGTCCCTGTTGCTATGTCCGACACTCCAGGGACCAGGGTGTCTGCTCCGTTAAGGCCGGCCAGATACCGGTCGTGCCAGTGTTTGGGTTCGAGTCGTGCTAGGACGCTTGGGCTCAGCCTAGGGGATAAGGGCGCTCGAGGGGGAGGGAGGGTTCCTTAGCCCGGAGGGAGGGTGGCTAGGGCCGGGGGATTCCCGGACATGTAGAGGTAGAGGTAGAGGTAGAGACAGACAGAGAGACAGCAGTAGTGTAGTTGAGTAGTAGTGACACCACCACTAGACCACACCACACCACACCTCTTTCTTCTTCTTGCTCCCTCTCTCTCTCTTGCCTGCGTTCGGTGTTAACCCCAACGGAGATAACTCTATACTGCTATTGGTAACTTGCACCGCCGGCGTCTTGGCTCGGACTTGGCGCCTTTGTCAGCTTCCTTTTCCGATCATCGACGTCGATAACTGTCTGTAGAGGATCCTTAACCCCGGTCGCTTCGATCATGGATATGGACGATGATGGAAAAAGAGAAGAAAAGCCTCACCCGCCTTAGGCATGTGTATCTGTCACCGGTTCTCCGTTCTCCGTTCTCTCATCGGGCTCTGGTTTCAAGATTGCTGGTACCGGTGTTGTGGCCGCCGCTTCAAGGGCCCTTAAAGCTTGTGTTATGTCATACCTACACCCACACCCGCAATGGGCGTCGTGACTGCCCAGCGCTCGTGAGTCGAGGGTCGGATACAATGATGAATGACTACCATTTCCATTCCGTCACTCTGGACCATCCAGAGCCAGAGTTGTGGCAAATAGTACGGAGTACAGACCCTCATACCTTCTCGTGTCAGGGCGCTTAGAACGACCACCCAACACCTACTATAACTGGACAAGCAAAAACAAAAGGGGCTTGGCTGGGCTGGGCTGGGCTTGGGAAGATAAAGACCTTTCCAGACCCAGCACTACGGCTCAGGCTCTCGAGCCTCTACCGTTCTGTAAGACAGAAAAGGGAGGACGGGGGACCAAGGGCCCAGAATCTCGGCGACGGTAATCTGCTTTGTATATCGTCGTACTGTATCTCCCACATCCCCTCCTATCTTCCCGAAAATGACCCCAATGATATTGAAGCCAGGCCAGGCCTGCTCTTTCGCATCGAGCTATTGGAACGTCAAATGTCTTCCAGTATCCCTGTCAGCAGCACTCAAGCTCAACAAGACTCGGAAACCACGCCAATCAAACACACAAGATCGAATCAATCACACCCCCTTGGGGGAACGTATCATCAACAATGACTGAGAACAAATAACATCTTTCGATCCCCGCGGCAGGGTACACACACCATCCAAGCAGGAAAACAAACCATCATAATCCATCATCAATTCGGCCCAAAAAAGACTCGTTTCACAACGTAACGTAACGCCACGACACTCTTTTAACTTAGTGCTTGGTATTAGGCTTCAGTTTTTTCGTCAGCCCTTCGCGGATCTTCTTTTGCTGGTCCTCCTTTTGAGCTTGACACTGCTTGTTGCCTCGTTCCATCCGCTCCCTCTTCTCCGCCTCCCGTCTGGGGTCGTGGCCTGCAGGGATGGTACAGTACGGGTAGGCTCGACCCACGGCCGAGCTGGGCTCGACCCCTGCGCGGAGGATGGCATCCCAGTCTCCTCCTTCTGCACCGCTGCGAGGCAATTTGTCGACAATGTAGAACGTCTCTTGAAATGTCTGCAGGCCGTCGTCATAATACCAGCGAAGGGAGATGGTGGAGGTCGACGTGTAGGCCGTGCCGCTCTGGTCGATCAGGGTGGTGGGTAATTTTGATTGGATCGGTCCGTGGGTGGCCATCGCTTTCGCTCTGGATATCATACTTTTCTGCAAGACGTTGTCCGACAAGGTGTTGGGAAGCCTGACGGTGTGTTCTTGGTCGTCAGCGATCACGACGATGGACACTCTAGCGTTGGTGGCCTGCAGAGGAGTCAGCGTCAGCACACATATCACTTCACGTCAAATCCTCTAGAAAACCAAGCCACGAGCCAGAATGCCCCTGGTAGACGAGGATACGAACAGCTGCGTACCATTGGAGCGGTTGGATGTGATGGAGGAAACAGTTGTGGACGACGGCTCTGCCACGAAAGATATGAGGACTCGAGCTGACTGCTGTCTTGCATATGACCATGACCGTGACCAACCGGGGGCGGGTGGCTGCGCTCCGGTGCCATTCCTTGACCACCGGGCGACGGGATGAGGGCAAACGGCCAACGCTGAAACTGTGGTCTGGGACAAACTTGTGCCCAAGCCCGGATTGAAATCGCAAATGCGTTGGCAAGAGGGCATTGGAGGATCTTGGCCCTTCATATAGCCGCGAACACAAACCTGCTGAGGTAGCTCGGCCTCGACACTGCATCCTTGTCAAGCGACGCTGCCTCAATCCATCATACCTGCTGCTTTCCGGTCACAGAATCGTCAGGAGTAACCACCTCACGACGGATTTGTCACGGAGGGACCGGCGATCGAGACAAACAGATCGAGATTGACAGCTTGATCGAGAAAAGGCTTTTGGGTGATTCAAACAGAAACAGTCTATCCTCGCCCACCGCAGTTGCGGCTCAACTCGTCCAGTTCATCCTTCTCCCGTATCAACGGTGCTATTGACCGCGGTACATGCTTTTGGTCGCTCAAAATGTCTATCCCAACCCGCCGTGTAACCTTGTGTCCAAACCAAGTGTTTCCCTTGCCGGTAGCCTGTCAGAGGAACGCCAGTCTGGTCCAGATCCAGATTCCACTGCAAATTCTGGTCCCACGTCTCCGCATCGCCAGGTTTATGTCGACGCCTTTCTCGTCCGGGTTGTGTCTCGCCCTTGGTCGTACATCTCGGAATTCCAGTTTTCCCATAAAGTAACCCGCCTGCCCTGACTGCCATAGGTTTGACTTCCTCTCCATCCTAGAGGAATGGCTGATCTGTCGCACCAGGATCGTGATTAAATTGACGAGTTGATCGTTTGCTCCTCGGGCATGTGCCTTCAAGTCGCCGGGCCGCATGGTGCAAGAATGGCCATTTGTAGGTTCATCTCGACCAAGGCTACAAATTCTGACCAGTTCTCAATGATCCAACGACAGCCAATGATGCAATCGAACTTGGCGTTTGCGTCAGCTGGCAGGACGTGGAAAGGGGCACGATGCAACAGGAAGGAATGCCTGGATGAGGATGTCGGGCTACGAAAATGCCACTGGAGGTGCACTGTGCCGTTGAACATGGTGTAGCCGCCAATCGAACGGACCACTCCTTCAAACGGCTGTTTTGTCAAATTGAGCTCGGCGTGGGCGCCATGGGAGATCAAGTTGAAGTCGGCCCCCGAGTCGAGGAGCACACGCCGAGGAGTCATAGTTGGGTGAGTTTGTCCTGGTTGAGGCGTCTCGGAAGGGTTCAGATGGATGAACATCAAAACCACAAAGGAATTGACCGGACTCCTCCTGCCGTCATCCCCCAGCATCTTTCGGAGAAAGTCTGATGGCATACAGCCATGACCCAAACTCACTCCGTGATCCTTTCGCCACGCCTGCCGGAGCCATAGGAAGAGGCGGCGCCGCCACTCTTTCTTCTTTTCCAACCTGTCGTTCTTCCGGGAGACTTTGTGCAGCGCAATTGACCGGGTCCTGGTAGCGCGGGCTTTGATCGCCGCCATCAGTCTGTGGTCCCGGTTAGGATTGTGCAAACGCTCGGGGTTGCTCTCGGAAAATCTCCCTACCGAAGAGATATATTGGAATGATTTTGCTGTAAGTTGGCCCTTTTTCCAACGACAAAACTAGCCTGGGTGATGACGCAGAGCAAGGTATCTTGAACATCCAGCGCCGACGCTGGCTTCACAATAGAGATGGCGAATCGAATTCTCAACTCTCCATCTTAAATAACAGAAAAGGAGCAAACAGTCGGTCCATGGTGGACTCGTCCATTCTATCGCCCGTCAGCCACTTGTCACACAGAGGACGGACTCGTCCTTCACGCATCGGCACGATTGCAGCATGTAACAAACTCCTGCACGCATAAGGTGAACTCTGCACCTATTTTTCCCGATCCACAGCTGTGGCAGTCCGAAAAGTTTGAGACATCGTCGATTTCTGATCCCGCAAATCGATACCTCCGTTACCGCCTTTCTGGAGGCGTTTTTGGGGTTCTCTTGAGGCGAGAGGCTCCCACTACCTTGGATCAGTGTCACCCCCATAATATGATTTTGCACCGCTGTAACATTGGAGGCTGACTGACAGGAGGCGACTCGGCCAGAGGATCTTCAAGGAACGTAAAATATCTATTTCGAGAGCAATACCGTGAAGGGAAGTTGCAGCGCCAAAGTCTACCGGTCCGGCCTCACTTGAAACCAGGTCATGGAGTCATGGAGTCATGCTGATCCGCAACATGCCGGGACTAGCCCGCAGTCTGATGGTGGATTGATGAGAGTATAAAATTGAAAAGCATTCTCATTCAGCCCTGCCTACCAGCATCACTCGTGCCCCAGCATTCGCGCTACGTAGGCCAGACCACGTCCCGGAGTATATTCCCTGTGCCCGTGTCATTCCACGTGCCTGGGCAAATGCACGCCACCAGGTGTTCGCAGCGATTAGCATTTGATGTCCCTCGGTGGATTTGGAGACGGGTAAGCTCGCTTCTGCAAGCAACCGCGTTCGTGTTCTGAAAGTGGAGCGGCAACAGCCTTTTCTGCTTGGACGGCAACTTGGCCAACAGGCTAAACGCGGAGGCCAGGTCTGTCGGCCCTCTTGGGCAGCGATGCAGAGAGAATAATGGACAATGCCTCCAATAGTAAAGAGTGGCAATTGAGTAGGACAAAATCGGTGAGTGCCCTTCGGAATATAAGCAGGTGCCCGGTCGTTGTACTCCCAACCTAGACATGCGCCCCTGATCATCTTGGTTGCAACCAGAACCTTTGTATCCTTACTTCGTGAAGATGACCGGTTACGGGGCGTTGGCCACGATGATGGCGAGCCATCAGAACACCGAAGCGTTCAGAAGATTTTCCAGTTTGAACATGGAGAACATCCTCCACATGCAAGCCGAACTTCAACACCTGGAAATGGTGATCAGCGAGGTGAGGCAAATCCCGGAGCTGAATAGCTTCGACCAACTCTGGATCGAATCCCCAGAACAGCTATCCGAGGAGGGCATACGTCAAATCTTTGAGCGGTCAAGGACACTGCTGGACCAGTATCGTGAGGAGCTCCTTGAGGCCAATAATCGAAACTTGAAGCTGAGAGTGGCACAGATCGAACACTATTGCAAACAGCAAAGATCAATGCGCTGCAGAATCCCAACAAGGATAACTTGAAGCTACGCAGACAGTGGTATGACGAGGAGAGCGGGGGCAATCAATTCTTGTACGGAGTTGAAGCGGGCATATTCTGTGACGAGAGTATCGAAGCCGACTTGCTGACGCTGAAGGAAAACCTCGGAAGCAAGGACTCATTGGCGAACTTCCTCAGTGAAAAAGTGCTGCCGTCGTATCATCGCGTGCTGGGCCATCGGCTTCACCGGTCAATGGCGGAAAAGGCATTCGACCGGACCTGGGAGTACAGACCAGAGAGATTGGTGCAAGTGGGCAATACGATTTGCATGCTGCTGTCGGCGGTTATTCCGCCGCTGTCAATTCTGGTCTTGTTCAGTGTCAAGAGCATGGGGGGCCGGCTGGTGGCAATTAGCATGATGAGTCTGGTGTTTTCATTGGTGATGAATGTCATTGCTCAGAGACGGGCTGACGTGTTTATGTCTACAACAGCGTTTGCGGCCGTTCTCGTTGTCTTTGTGGGAAGTGCAAATGTGATGGATGGCTGAGAATGGACACAGTCGGATGGCAGGAAATCCCCGAGCGGTGACACTGTCCCACGTTAAAAAAGAGTGTCTGTGAGAGATAGGGGTACGGGGTCCGGCTATGTCCATCGTTGGTTTTGTCTCACCCCTGGACAATGCTGGAAAGTTCGGGTGTTCAGGAAGAGAGGCCACAGCAATCACGCTGGCGGGTCGTGGCTGGACACGACCAAGGTTGGCTGGCGGTATCAGGTCGGTCCCCTTTGGAAACAGGGAAGAGGAATATGCCAGGCATCGGTGTAATATTCGAACTACCAGGATCAATAGGAGAGGGAGCGCAACGGCCTGGCTGTCATGCTGTCAGGCGGTTTTGTGTGTACAGAAGGGCACCCAATGCAGGTTTCTGTGACTGCCAGGAATAAGCACACGGGTGTCGAACAGTAGAAGGTCGATCACTGAGACGAACACACCAAGTTGTGCAAAGGCGACAGGATCCTGAGAGCGCCGGTGCACCAGGCGTACTGTATATCATGACGTTGAAGACGGTATGAGATGACTGATATGGCATGACATGGCTATCGAGCCGCAGTCTCTCTGGGTGCCACTTACGAGTGCTCACGGGAATGCAGCGCAGGCGCAGGCGCAGGCACAGGCACTGACCCCTCACAGGCTTGGCAAGCAAGAAACCTCACGGTTTTCTAAGTTCAATCCCTTGACCTCCAAGTCGACAGAGACTGGCACTTTTCCAACACAATGTGACTGAAATGAAGAAAGTGGCTGATGGCCAGAATACACATGGCCTAAGGTCGGTCGCAAATGAGAAAAAAAAGTTTCTGAACGACGGCCTCACAGAACGGCTGGCCAGCTCCCAGCTCCCACCACAGGGGCCTGTTGAAGCAGGATTCGAACTGGCAACCTGCCAAAAACGACCTCCACCCACTATTGGGGCCCCGCCAGCCAACCTCTTCTTTTCGCTTGCTCCCTCTCACTGCGCAGCGCACGCACTCCCAGTCTCTCCCTCACTCTCTCGCGCCCCATCGAGCAGCCTGCCTCCTGCCTCCTGCCTCCTGCTCCCCCGAGCTCCAAAGCTCCAGCTCCGTCATCTCTCTGACTGACGCCCAGCCGACCTAGAGCTTCCTCTCTAGCTCAGCTCGCCAGACGGGGGCCGACATCCCGCCTACAGCTGCATCATGGCTCTATGCGCCCTCTGCTCAGGCCTCTGCCTCTTCTCCTCACCTCTCGCGTCTCCCTGACCGTCCCCCTTCTATCCGTACTTCGGTTCCTTTCTGCCCTGTCCTCCCGACCCGTAGTAGACCTAACCCTGAGCCCTGAGCCCTGACGTCTTGCAAAAGAGCTCCCCTAGAGTTTCCAAAGTCTCTAGCCGTACGCTCACCCTAACTTACCTCAACCCACATATTCTGTCCTTTCGCACTTCTTCCTTTCGGCTGTTCTCCTCATTTCTTCCATCTCTTTCCATCTTTCCAGACATACTTTCTCGTCCTCAATCCTCAGATCTTTTCCGTATTCACCTCCACAACATGGTTGGACCTAGAAAGCGACGTCAGGACCCTGACGACGAGGAGGAAGAGCTCGTAGCTCTCCCCAGCGACGAAGATGAAGAAGAAGAAGAGTAAGACACCTCACGCCTTAAAAATCCAAACGCTTTTCTTCCACCCGAGCTGTTCTCTGCCGACGGGCCGAAGGAATTGGTCATTACCAACTCTCACCATGCGCGCGCCCATTATTGTAATACCTGGTCGCTTTGCAGCGTTCATCCTATTCAGAGGGTTCATTTGGCGCTAGTCGCTTCTCCACCACGCTGTGCTTGATGCTGATATCTTCGATCAATCAGGTATGAGGACTCCGAGCTTGATGACGAGGAAGATGGGGCCGAAGAAGAGGATGACGAAGAAGATGTAGAGGGAGAGGAGGAAGAGGGCGAAGAGGAAGAAGAAGAAAAGGGTATGTGACAGCCTCCAAGGATGCAGTGACCAGGTGCTGACTATTTATTGATGCAGCTCCTCCTCCTAAGAAGCGCAAGGCTGAGGCCGAACCTGTCGAACCCGCCTCAAAGAAATCCAAGCCCACGACCACAGGCGGTAAAGAAGACGAAGAAGAAGATGCCGAAGACGAGGCTCCGGAAGATGGTGCGGACGAGGAGGAGCACGAAGAAGATGAACCTGCAGTCAAGACCAAAGTCGTCACTGGTTCTGAAAGCAAGGCAGCAGCTGCCGAGGCTGGAACGGAGGATCTTGACGGTGAAGAGTAGTGGAGGGAGACCAATCTGGGCGGTTCTTCTCAGCTCGACCTCGAAAATGCAGCTTGAAAAGATAGAACAGGCAAATACACTTGTGGCCCATGGAACATTGACAGCTTTTCCCGCGCCAGACCGCCTCGCACGGCGATGGGTTTTCTTCCTACCTCCTTCGCAGGCTTGTCATAACTCTTTCTGCCGCACCTAGAGTGATATGTTTTGGCCATTGTGCATGCTGGGGTGTAAAGAAAGATACATCTTTGTCGAACACCAGGACCAGGTGTCTCAACTGGTTCCAGTTTAGACTCTTCTTGCAACCACTGCACGAAAGCATGTCTCATCATACTTCTGCTTGGTGACTAGTTTCATTGCCTAGACACTGGCCATGCCATGCCATGCCGTAAGACAGGAACATGCAGAGAAATTGACAGAGAGCAGGGTTGCCCTGTTCAGTGCCTGCCAAGCATCTTTCGAGATTTCTGGACTCCGTACATCCGTACTCTGTCCGCTGTAGTAATTAGAAGACGACGGACTTTTGCCAGCACAGCTGTCGCTTCATTAGGTCAACTCTTATTGGGGCCAAACGAAAGGCGAACAAGGCTTAGGCCTTAGCCTAAGAAGAAGCCTATTAATTAGGTACATATACTCCGTAAATCTGGAGACCTCGCTTCATGGGCGCTCAGCGTGAGAGCAACGCCAAAGGCGCATACTCGCGAGAAACAGACATCGCCCACGAGGCAGGTCATCTGGCTACCCGTACATTCCGAGATCAAGGCGGATTTCCTACGGGAGGCACTTGGTCCAGCTCGATTGACGGAATGACGTTGACCTGCAGTGAGGCTTCAGGCTCGTGTTCTGCTGTGAATCTAACATTCCCCTTGCCGGTCTCCCTTGATGAAAAGGATGCGGTGGGCGGGCTGGTCCTCATTGACCGGCACCAAAGACGGCCATATGGTATCAGGTTGGTAGCAGCAGAGCCCCGAAAGTATCAACCTGCTTCTACCTGACCGTCTTCGGCGCCAGTCAGAGGCTTCCTCTTTGGCGGTGGTGTTTCACTCGATGCGCAGACGTCACCGATTATTGACAAGGAGGAATGGTACGATTGTTGTTTGTGATGAGCGTGATTTGGCACCGAACAAGTGTTGCTTCAACCACAAGCATCCAGGAAAATGGCGGCGAGAGATGCCGGTGGCTGTTTATCTCCGCGAAAGCCCGGTAAGGTTCGTGATTTTTGCGTCAGATCTCACCTCCTGGGGACCGGAATGCTTTCGTTGATTTGCTCCTCCTCCATGCTGACAAGGAGGTGCGGGGTGGTGGCTATCAAGGTAGTACCAGATGGCATAGTACGACTCTGACGGTGGCCGAATGTGCTCCAAGAAGAAGGAAGAAGAAGGTAATAGTCAGCAGAGACTGGTTCCCGAGTGTCTCTTCGGTTTATGCCTGTGGCGAGATACATAAAGTGAGGAATGGTCTCTCATTTCCTCTTCTCTTCCACTCATCTCTACGTCTCTTCACCTCAATACAATACGGCCTGTGGCTCACACTCGAGACTTGAACAGCAACGATACCAGCGCAACCATGGCGCCTTCGAAACTCGAGACCATCTCCTTCACTGCCTTCTCTAACATTATTGACGGCCAGCTTCGTGGCTCCAAGGGTCATTATCATGGCATCGATCCCACCACCAAACAAGCAAATTGGGATGTCCCCATCGCCACGGCTGATGATGTGGAAGACGCCGTTGCCGCCGCCAACAGAGCCCATGCCGAATGGAAGGCCAGCACCTGGGAATATCGAACAGAGCGTATTGCGCGCTTCAAGGATGCGTGGGAAGCCTACGAGGAAGAACTGACGAACCTACTACTGAAGGAAACGGGCAAGCCGAGACAATTTGGTTCGGCAGAGATCAAGTCGGCCTCGCAGTTTATCGAATGGCATGTCGGTTTGAAGGAACCCAAGGGCGAGACGTACGACTTTCCAGACAAGAAGATCGACCACAAGTTTGTACCGCTGGGCGTCGCAGCGGCCATTTGCCCGTGGAACTTCCCTTTGCTTCTCAGCTTGGGCAAAGTCCTACCAGCCGTTCAGATGGGCAATGCCATCATCGTCAAGCCTAGCCCCTTTACGCCGTAAGTCCATGATCTGATCAACCATCCCGAGATGGCTTGGGCCGTTGGAGCAAATGACTGACGGAAGAACCAGATACACCGCGTTGAAAATGGTCGAGATCGCCAATCGAGTCTTTCCACCGGGCCTGGTGCAGGCACTAGGCGGCGACGACAAACTGGGCCCGGCTCTGGTTGACCACCCGGACATCCACAAGATCAGCTTCACCGGATCGATTGCCACAGGCAAGAAAGTGATGGCCGCAGCCGCGAAGACAGTCAAGCGCGTGACGCTGGAGATGGGAGGCAACGATCCGGCCATCGTGCTTCCGGACGCTGATATTGCTAAAGCAGCCCCCATGGTTGCCATGGTACGTTGGACCGGCCCCCTGACATTACCATTCCAAGGTGTTGAGAGATGGAGCGAGCGCCAAAAACGCACACACTAACAGATATTGTTTCTTTTTGGTTCTATTTAGGGCGCCTTCTTCAACACCTCACAAGTGTGCATCGCCTCGAAGCGCATCTACGTACACAGCTCGCAATACGAGGCGTTCCTCGAGGCGTTGATCAACGTGGCCAAGACACTGAAAGTCGGCACGCCCGACGAAGAAGGCGTCATGCTCGGGCCGATCCAGAACAGCATGCAGTACGAGAAGGTCAAGGGGTTCTTCCGCGACGCGCAGGACCAAGGGTACAAGTTCGCGCTGGGGGCCGGGCAAGTGCCGGAGACGCAGGGCTATTTCATCCACCCAACCATCATCGACAACCCGCCGGACGACAGCCTGATCGTGACCGAGGAGCCGTTCGGCCCCATCGTGCCCGTGCAGAAATACGACGACATCGACGAAGCCATTCGCCGCGCCAACAACAGCAGGGCCGGGCTCGGCGCCACCGTCTTCGGCAAGGATCCCCAATTGCTCCAGCGTGTCGCCGATCAGCTGGAGGCCGGCAGCGTCTGGATCAATAGCTATCCGGCCGCCGGGCCGCAGGCCCAGTTTGGCGGTGTCAAGGAATCGGGCATCGGCACTGAGTTTGGCACTATGGGTATCCTGGCCTATGCGAATGTCAAGGCGGTCACGACGTTCAAAGGATAACTGAGGTAGCTGTGTGAATGGAAATGGGAATGGGAATGGGAATGTCTAAGACAATCACGATATTCAACGAGAATTGAGCCCGCTAGCAGTCTCATGGTCTGCGGCGGCAGCGCCGCTACCTACTAGTAGGGCTATCCGAGTGTGTCTGCAACTCTCAATACTAGCACCTGATTGATACATACCTACCATTCAGTTCTCAGCAGCTCACATCGCAGCGGTGGCGTTCAATCAGATGTCTCTACGTAAGATTCCCTTTTCCCGGGGTCTAAGAGGGATGAATCGTTCTTCCTGACTTGTAGAAGAGAGAAATTGCTCGACAGGCTGGGAGTGGCAGAAGAAGAACAACGCATCAATTGCTACTATCATGTACGGATACCTAAGGTTTTTACAACTTCGAATCTCGTTCCTTGTTACCCGTAATCCCACCCATCGCGTCGTCCTTAACCGGGTCAGCGTCGGCCGTCTCGGCCTTGAGGCTTACCGGGTCCCCCAGCATCGATCGGTTGCCTTTCTTGGCTTCGTCGAGATCGTGCTTTGCCATATCCTTTAGGCTTTTGGTTCCTGGACCGTCTTGCTTCCGATCATGCGTCGGAGTCTGCGTCTGGGCTTGGCCCTCTTTCGCCTGTGGTCGATCAACCCCGTTGGGTGAAGGTGCGGTCTGTTCGGGCTCGAGAGAGACAGGATCCCCGAGAGCGGTCGGATTAGATTGGGCTGCTGCTTTGAAAGGCTTGTTGTTGTCGTCCTTGACCATTGTGGAGCGAATAGGTTTAAGAAGTCACGGGGTAGGTAGATTGGCTGGTGCTTGTGCCCAGATAAGAGGTCTGGGAGTAATGGGCGGTACTGTCTAGCAGGCAGCCGAGAGAGGTGTTCTCTGAAGGACGAGCGTTGAGATTGGTGGACTTGAGGACTTCATCAACGTGTGGTGTAGATGATGGGCAAGGTGTCGAAAGAGCTGGCTCGACTGGAAGGTTCAGGAGATACTAGTGAGGAGAAATGCAAAGTATTTGCAAAGTGTTCTGTAATAGAAATCTTGAAAGAGTGAGTAGATAGGAATTCTTGTCGACCGCAGTTTCGTGAGGTTAGCTCGACAATGTGAGGACGGCCGACATGCTGCGGAGTGGTCAGCAATATCATGGTCATGTAGTCACCAGTACATAAGGCAGGTAGTCATTCATCGCACTGACGTCGTCCATTTCTGCAGAGCTGGGGATGAACTTAAATCCTTTGCCTGGTCCTTGGAGCCCGTATTGAGAGGTTGAGAGGGCATGACATTCCTTGCTACCGCATTTGATACCTAGTATCCTTACCCGTCTGAATAGAAGGGCTGGGCGGAGCTCGCTTGGTCAGTTGATCGGGATTGATATCAAACGATGAGAAGATGAGATGCGATGTCGACAGTTGATGGGAGCAGTGCCTTTGTACTCGGATTAAAGATTATCCACTCCAGACTTCGCTCTCTCGGCTGAGTTACCAATTACCCTTCAAACACTTCAGGTCCTAAGCCCTTCACTGATATCCGCAAACATGCCTCTGAAAACCACTTGGATTAGGTGCTTCTTACCTACTAGGTAGTTAGAGCGGAAGCAAAAATCCAAGACGGAAACATCCCGTTGATACTGTGCTCGATTTCTTGTGGCCGCGCATGCCCGCGCCTAGGGTTAGCCAGCTCAGTCATGTTCGAACCAGGCCAGACGATAGAATGCGCAAACATGATATCTCTCCGCCCCTCAATCTCCTCTAAGTCGTCGTGGACCTATCGTCGGTTGTCCACACCCCGCGCTCCGCAGTGAGCACTAATAAGCCACTAAAGCACAATGCTGATAAGATCGGTGGAAACTGAAGAGTCAAGACCGAAGCATAAACACCAGAGCTAGAGGTTCTTCTCGTCTACATACTCTCGTCGGCAGCCTACGCATGAAGCTCTGGAACTGATTGCTTTGGAGACACTGCTCGAGTCACACTTAATCTTTCTTTCAGGAAGGGCCCGCTCCAGCATGGGAAGTACTGCTACTCCATCGACTCTGCGTGTCGCCGCGGCGCAGTACGAGCCCGAATGGCTAGATCTTCAGGCATCGGTTGCGAAGACTTGCGCCATCATTAACAAAGCGGGGAAGCAGGGTGTAAAGATCCTAGCATTTTCAGAGTTGTTCATTCCCGGATATCCGGCATGGGTATGGTGAGTGTTGATATCTCTCAGACTCTCGCGACCTTTCAGCACGGATATCATGGCCACAGGGCTCAAAAATTGAGGCCTACCACTATTTCGGGACGCTTGCACAGCTACCACAACTAATCTGTGTCCAACACATAGGCACCGCCCTGTCGATCCCGTCTTATCGACAAAATACATCCAGAACTCGCTGGTAGTAGACTCAGACGAGATGCGCACCATTCAAAATTGCGCGGCACAAAACGATGTCGTTGTGGCTTTGGGGTTTTCCGAGAATGACAACAACTCGGTCTATATTGCCCAGGCCCTCATCGACTCGGACGGCAAACTGCTCATGAAGCGGCGCAAGCTCAAGCCAACGCACATGGAACGCACCATTTTCGGGGACGCCTCGGGTAATAGTCTGGTGAACGTGGCACCAACGCGAGCCGGGAAACGGGTTGGTGCCCTGGCTTGTTGGGAGCATTGCCAGCCTTTGCTCAAGTACCATACAGCGACACAGAGAGAGGAGATTCACTGCGCGGGATGGCCCCCGCTATCTCCTCACGCTGGGCCAGAGCTGTGGTCCTTGTCGATGGAGGGTGAGTCGGGATTGCATTCTCATCCATATTGTTAATGTCTTCTCCCCCCCGATCTGGCTGACGGGATGAATCCGTGTTCGTTCATGCTAGGCTGCCTCAGTCTCTCCCAAACATACGCCATTGAAACACAGACATTTGTGCTACACTCCACCACCGTCATCGGCCCCAAAGGGATCGACGCCATGTCGACGGCTCAGGCCATGCTAATGAACAAGCCTGGAGGCGGCTACTCGGCCATCATTGGGCCGGACGGGCGCCGTCTCTCGGAGCCTCTCGGACCCACGACGGAAGGCCTGGTCATTGCGGACATTGACCCTAGCATGGCCATCATGGCGCGCAGCTTCTTGGACATTTGTGGCCACTACAGCAGACCAGATCTGCTTTGGCTAGGATGTGATACGAGAGAGCGCAAGCATAAATTCGACCGGTCTGCCGATGTGCAGGAGGAGCAGGAGAATGGTGTAGAAAGGAGATATGACTTGGTGAGTGGATAAAAGGTCGAAAGCTATAGAAGCCAGCAAGTTCGAATTGTCTATGGCAACTGATTTTGTTTCATTCTCTTCTTGCGTTCTTTATGCTATGATTTTTCTGGCAGCTGAACGGTCGCATTTCGTCTTGACACCTAATTCGTCTTGTTTTGCTGAATGCAGAAAGGGTTTGCAGGATTTCGTTCTGTATTCGCTAACAAAGGAAGCTGCATGGACATTGACGACCTAATATTCGCCAGTCCAGGAGTCTCTCACAGGAATATCAAGCCTACCGTCGCCACCACACTGAGGCCCAGTCCCAACCATCCTGACACCTGCACTTGTCTGTTCGTGAGCATGGCCCCCGTGTCCCAAATCAGATGCCTAGAGCCGTGGATGATGTGGAACATGAACGGCCAGCCAAAAAATGCCTTTACCGCCAGCCTCGTGCTAGCGGACAGCCCACCAAACCAGTCCACCAAGCTCGCAGTGTCGAGATGCCAGCCCAGAAGCGGCGACACAAGGTAGGCCGCCCCGAAGATATACACCGGTGCAGTGATGAGGATGGCGCAGTTGCGCATCAGAGCCCCGGAATACCACGTTATCTGTGGCTGGTAGATTGACAGGTGTGGACTGGTGGGTCGGGCGCGGCGGCGTGAGGCAAGGTACTCGGTGTGCTGGGCCGCGGTTATAGTCTCGATCTGTGGCTTGCCTTCGGGCTTGGACGATGTCGTCGAAAGTCTGGTGGATAGTTAGTGGGCTAGATGGATGGAGCGACGAGTTGTGAGGGCAGTAACTGGCCTGGAGTGAAGGAGAGACACTGCTGGTCGAGGCAGGAGCATGGGCCTGAGAGCTTGCTTTCTAGCAGCATACAGGCGCAACTGGCCTTCGTAGACTGTGAGATCAGACTTTAGCAAGAGGAAGAGGCAGAGTCTGTAGATGGCATGCGGAGGGGGCTGCGGAGGACGTACTTCCTGCTCGAACAGGCGGTCTGAATGCTCTCGAAGCCATTGCGACTCTGTGAACAGACTGTATATTATCAGGTAGTCAGATACCCGACCTGGAGATGTTGGATCAATCCAGCTACAGTATGGAGTACAGTGTCGAGGAAGAGAGAAATACCTCCCGTGCTAATAGATGGACGGGGAGGTACTCCTCCTCCAGCCAATTGGGCGTCGGTATTTGCGGCGCATTGACTCCTCAATTGGGAAAGATTCATCTTCCGAGGTTCCGAGCAAGATTCCATCCCAACCACCACCTCACCATGCCTCTCCTGCGGTAGTTGTCTTAAGACCAGTCTCGTGGACTCGCCATTGGGCCCACGTGTCTCATCCCTGGCTCGCCGCAGCTGGGATGAGACCTCGATCTCAACAAGCATGTGAGGCGTGTCGTGCTCGGAAGTTACGCTGCCTGCCGGGCACCCCAACCGACAACTGCAAACGGTACAGCTGTCACCGTTCTCCTGTATTCCGCTGTTGCTGATGTTGCAAGATGCGAAGATGCAGGCATCACCTGTGTACCCCACCAGGCCCTCAAGAGAAGAACACCGGTGAGAAAGTAGGAGAGAACCGCCACGCTACCATCGAATTGTCAGGATTGACCAGTCGCAGGAGACAAGGCTACCGGTTCGCCAACACGGTTGGCCAAGTTGCGGATTCGACTCTGATAAAAGGTCATCCTCTGTCAACGCCTGAGATCGGCAAAGCAAGCAGCACCAGTCCATCTGATCTGGACGCGTCCTTTGTAGTGGGCAACTTAGCCCGTCGAACTTTTGGCCGGGGATTGCTGGATGAGCTGCACATTGAAGGCTACTCCTTCGGGAAGTGGACAGCCTTCGAGGAGTTGACTGATCAGCAATGCCTTGAAATCTTGGACCATTACAAACGGCTGGTTGGAGCAGTCCCATTTGCTTTGCTTCTACCTGACTTGCCGCCCGAAGACCTCAAATCCAAGTGCCCGCTACTTCTCCTATCGGTTCTCCTCACAGCAAGCAGCTCCTACCTGGAAATCCAGAAGCAGGCAGATGAGATCTTCCGCCATGTTCTCGCGGACCGATCCATCATCAAAGGACAGCGCAGTCTCGAGCTCTTCAAGGGTCTTGTCACCTATCTTACTTGGTACCACCACCGTTTCGATCCCGAGACGCAGCAGTTTTACCAGCTGCTGCAAATGTCCACAGCAATGGCTGCAGATCTGAGTCTTTCGAAGAAGTTTGCGGAAGACAATGGCACCCTGCAAAGCCAATCGTTAGATGATCTCAACAACGTCCGAGCGTTTCTCCTCTGCTATTATCTCAACTGTGGTGGTGCTGTTCTCGGGTACGATAGACTGGAGAATATGCACTGCATACGTAGTTTGAGAAATGCTGCCCATTTGCTGGCCCGATCACTGTCGCAGCCACTTGACACTGAGTCGACAGCCATCATCGAGTTGATGTACATCGCAGCACAGCACCGGACTTCGTTGAATGGCATGGAAAACCGGGAGCCGTCTCAAATTCCATCCTGGAGCTCAGAATCGGCACTAAGATCGTGGCGAGACAAATATCTGCACGCCCAGAGCCCGTGCGTGGTAAGATCAAGCTATCATTATATTTCCACCTACAGCCGGCTCAAAAGGGCGGATTCCACTCCTCCTTCGCCCGCAGATATTGCTGCCTGCCTCAAGATCTGTCAGGCCCAGCTTTCAAATGTCCTTCAAGAAGGCCCAACCTATCTCACCTTGTTTGGTATCGTCGAATGGGCACCCATATTGACGTACCTGTTCCTCCTTCCTCGATTGGAGGCCTCGGTTACGACAGCATCGACGTCAGCTTCGATGACGGATTTGACGCCACGTACAACTAAAATGCTTGAGCGATTGCGTCTCCAAGTTGCGGAACTCAAGGCCACAGCTCAGTTCCAGACAACTTTAGGAGCTCACCATTTCTTCATGTGGCTGGAGATAATATTCTCGGCCAGTGAGCGTTGCACATTATCCTTGCAGAAGGCACATTCGAGGCAGAGCCCTGGGACACCTGTGGATGGAGGGGGTTCAGCATATGAACTCATCCATTCTTACACCGATGATGCAGAAGATGGTCTAACTAGTCAGCCTCGCGAAAGCCTGAGGATGGAGCGGTTCTGGGACGACTTCATGTCAGACTGGCTCCAGTGGTAGCCATGGTCTGCTTCGCCGAAAGCCATGGCCGATGTCCACCGTGGGGAGCCTTTCAGATATGTGAGGCGCTACCTGTCACACTCAGGAGAGGAGCATTTCCCAACCTCATTGCTATCATTCATTCATGTAGTTAGGGTTCCTCCCCAGGCCCATTTGTTGGAGAACAAGGAATCTGAGATCTGCTTCTGCGGAGTATAGGTGATACTACGTAGGTATATCGAGTCGTTGCCGGACCCCCCC